TCTTTTAGTTTCACTTTGGTATTAACTGGTAACTGCATTAGCTGTTGTCATGAATAACTCAAACAAATCACTTCAGCCACAGTATGATGGAGCTGACTTAACAGTGGTAACCTCTGTAAATACTGTCAGAAAACAGATACATTAACTATTAGTGACTGAAATTTCCTGTCCTTGGGAAGCAAAAGTTGTTAAATTCTTTCTTGATTTACCCGGCTAACAAAACTTCTCACCAGGCTTTTTTTTTTTTTTTTTCTCCCAGAGAATGCATAATATTTAAAACCTTAAGTAGTTACTTGTTATGTTTCAAATGCAACTTAAATTAGAGCTATAGACTATGGACTATGGACTGTAAAGAAAGTTCCCAGATTCCCAGAATCAGGCCTGTAGGCCTTCTGATTTAAGTCCAAGTACAGCAACAAAATAATTTATAATTGTAACCCAAATGTATACAATGCAGTTTAGGTCCTGAATGTACAAATTCCCACAGCACGTATACATGTGTGAGTGCTTCTCTTTAACTCTGATAATTAACTATATAAATACAAACATTTCTAAATTCTTGTAGGACATAATTCCAATCATTTTGGAATAATGAAATGTTACATATAAATACATCTAAGGTTTAAAAAGGATGAATCTTAGGACTGGAAGGAAAATGTGCTGAAGGAGCTAATAAGGAACAAACATAACATATGTATTGAAGTGTTGACTGGTAGGTGGATGGAAAATAGACAAGCTCAGAGTCTTTAAAAAAATCAGTACTTCAGAATGATGTTTTGTTGCTAACATAGAAACAAGTAAGATCTTAACAGGAAAAATTCTTAACAGAAAAATATTAATAACTGTGAAAATGACAGAAATGACAACCAAGAGGAAAGAAGGAATTGTGAAAGTGGCCAAGACTTCTAGGCTCACTGGGTACAGCAGTGTTGGAAATATGATTCTGCTGGCAGTTTTTTACACTCTTATCTACAATTTTACTATCTTTTCTTTGTGCTGATGACTGTTTGAAAGACAACATAATGATCTTAAATGCTTATTAGGTGATTTCTGCAGTTATTACAGACCTGCTCATAGTAATAATCTGGAACTTATTTTGCAGGAACTCTTCCTTCTTGATCTTGCAACTCAGGAGAAAGGACCAATTCCCTTTGACTTCACCAGGAGACTACCAGAAGAATTTTCTCCTTACTAGAATACTTCACTTAATTTATTCCCTTGCTGGGACTACAGATTTTTTTTATAATTCTCTCTCTAAGGGAGTATCTGTTCTTTTACTACACATTATCCTTTACTTGGTTGTTCATTTTCATAGAGAAATAAGATTTTTTTATAATTTAATTTGAAAAGTGGTTTTGTATCCTTTATTTTATGTTATCCAATCACCTTGTATTGTATTAGTGAACGATTTTTCTTTTTTTTAAATCATACTCAAGAGTGTCTTTAAAACAAATCACTCATGAAGAAAACTCTCACTTTCACCTCCCTCCTTCTCAGAAATGCTGTTTTATTTAACAATTTTACCAAATACAGTTTCAAAACAGATTAGTGTAGCATTTTTTATATGTGAAAAAGTTACCTTTACCTGGATAAATAGTTCAAAACCTGGCCAAGCAGTGAGCCAAGTAAATGAATTAATTCCTGATATCCTAATTTCCATTTCAGAATTGTCTGAGCAGCAGTAAATGCATACTTTTATCTACATGAATGTTTCATTAGAATGACCCGGTTGATCGACATGATGAGGTCCAGATGATCTTCCTGACCTCTTTTCTGTTTTCCCCCTCTCTCAGCATGATCCTCTCAGGCTAGTCAAGATTTATCATGTAGGCTGGTCAAACCAGCACACCAACTGACTCCAGGGCAGGAAGGACTACAGTGAAAAGAAGTTTTTTTATCTGAGGAACTTATCCTGACTGTGCCCCTCCAGGCTACTTCCAAAAGGATTGTTGTTGCTACTGCCTGCTGCTTGCACCAGCGTGCCTATCTAAGAGAATCTCAACTAACATGAATTCTTCAGCCCAATCTCAAACACTCCTAACAGATAAAGAAGCAGACTATGACAGATTTTCACCTGTATTTTTTTTCTTTGCTTTAAGCATCAAAAGTCATCCCAGGACATTTATGTACGTAAAGATTTATTTTTTTTCCATTATACTGCCCTTAGACTTCACTCAAATAGCACTGTAGGATGCTGCTACATAATGTAAACCTGTAAGAAGATGGTTCCTACTCCACAGAGCACAAACAAGTTCTCTCTGTCCATTCTACGAAAAATTATCTTTGGAATTTATACGGGCTATTTTCATTGACTCAAAGACATTTATGGACCTAGCATATACTTATTCACTGAGGAAACCATGAGCTGACCTAATAATAGCCAGCATACAGGAGTTTAGTACAGAAGTGAGTGTAACATTGGGTGTGTGGATTTTTCAAGTGTGACAGTGGCTGTTGAGCCTAGGAAGAATGTAGCACAGATTCTCCCTTCTTTTGCTGATAATCCTGTGAGAAGAAACTTCTTACTTCCATAAGTAATACATTAATATTTGTTTTATGTATGACTTCTATGCAAACTGACAAACTGGTAAATTCTGTATGGCAATCTTACTCTATTTTGTCAAACTACGTTTTCTTCGATTATAAATCCTTGCAAACACAAGTCACCAGAGAGAATATTTAAGATACAGTTCTGCTGCAGCTGCAGGCTTCTGGAGGGGAGAAACAAATGCAATTATCCTCTTGCTAATGGCACCACTCTGACCATAGGAACAGTTCAGTGCTGCTCATAAGTGTGGTGCTGCAGTGTCACAGCCATGCAATACTCTGGCATGAGTTGTCTTGGACATTGGCAAACTATTATTCTATATTACACAGAAGACAGTGGACAGGAAATCTGTCCTCTTAGAAATCAGCAGAAACATTTCATCTGAGTCCTCAAGAGAAACAATATCCCCTGCAGAAATGAACAAGGCAATGAAAACTGACTCCTCTCATATCCCAAGGAATTAAACCTACAGAAACAAATGGCAAAATTGTCAACAACGTCAACAATAAACAATGATGCCCTGCTTTCTTGCCCAGCAGTTTGAATGTTTTTTCTGGCTTTTAAGACCATTTCAGACAAAATAAACAAGGAAAGGCACAAAATTTTACTTTGTTTCTTACAGTTATTTATATTTTAAAAACTATTAATTGGTTTCAGTAAGTGGTTAAGTGGTCAAGGGGTCAAGGAGGGGCACTGCAGAAATCTTTCCTGAAATCTTTATTGACATTTATTTGCATGCCCCTTAACTTCCACAAAATTCTTATGTTTGAAGCACAACACATCTAGTTTACTAGGGGTCTTTTCTCAGTTTAGCTATGTAAAATGTAAATGAGTTCTCTCCAAACACAGATCTAGGGTTAGTGTATAGCAAATGAAGTGAGGAAAGTAGCACCATGGACAGATTCTTTCCAGCCTGAAAGAAATATCTTTGAGACACGTCAGAAGAAGTGCTGTAGATGTGTATGTTACTGCTTTAAAGCAGAGAAGTCTTCACTAGTGGTTTAAAGACCCTGACCAAGCTTTGGATGGCTGGTCATCTTGATCATAGCACACTAGTGAGGAAGTGACAGACTGCAGCTATCTACCTAAAAGCTGATGATTTGTACCCCCAGGCATGAAGTCACCCTTGTTTAAATGAAGAACAAGCTGGGCTCCTGCCTATGTGGCACAATTAATGGTTGAACCCTCACCATTTAAAGGGTTATTAAAAAAAAGCTAAAATATTCCCATGTATGAAGCACACAGCTTAACAGTCCCACTTAGACCTGGGGCTGGTAGTCAGAGAGACACAGTCAGGTTTAGACCTCGGTTTTTACTGACAAAAGCAATTGTACATCTCTCAGCCAATGCATGAGCACAAATCTGGGCTCTAATATATTCCAGCAGCACAGCCTGGAAATACATGCATCAGAAATCTGGATGCAGGTGAGCTCTGGCTCTCACTAGAAACAAATAGATAAAAATTAAAAACTCTACTGCTTAAATAGAGTACAAATTGAGGTGCTTCACAGCCAAGATTCCGGACAGTAATGTGTTCCAAATCAGTGTCTGTCATCTGGATCCTAAAGGCAGCTGACTTTTTTTTTCTGCTCTCAATCACCCCAATTCCATCGTCAATCTAGAGAGCATGCTTAGCTTCTCTGAAAATCAGGATCTCAGTGTGCCCTGCCACAGTGAAGCTTCACAACATCAAACACAGCATTTGTGTCCCACCAGGACCCATTAGATTTGTGCCACCAGCACAGCTGAACGCTGGTTTCTTTTGTGCCCTCAATTAAATGCCCTCTTCACTCTTATTAAAGGCATGCTGATAGAGGGAAGATGGGGGAAAATGCTGTCATATGCATCCTGCTGGATGCTACTCTTGGAAGGACGACCATCATTCTAGCACTGCAAGTGTCGACTGGTGCGACAGTGAGGCAGAGGCATTTGGGGGAGGCTAGGAGATTTTAAAGGGGGGGAAAAAAAACAATTTCAAACCGAAGCCAGCCAGCCAAAGCGAGGGGAGGAGCCGGGTAGGGGCTTGGCTCGCCCCTGGGCCGAGCCTGGCAGCGCGGCAGCGCTTTGCCAAGTGGCAGCCGGCTCCGGCGGCCGCTCGGCCCGAGCCCAGCGCGGCTGCGGGAGGAGCGGGCACGGCCGGGGCGCGCTCGGGTCGGGTCGCGCCGGACCGGACAGACCCAGAGCCCAGCCCGGAGCCCAGCGCAGGCCGTCCCACCGCCGGGGCAGAGAGGGGACGCCGGGGCCGGGGTGCTGCCGCGCCGGAGCAGCGGCTCCGTCCAGGCGCTTCCGGGCGCGCCGGGGGAAGGACGAGAAGAAGGAGGAGGAGGAGGAGGAGGAGGAGGAAGGGAGGTGTGGGTGGAGGGGAGGGGAGGGGAGGAGAGGGAAGGAGGGGTGGAGGGAGGCCGGCTTTTTTAGGAGGGAGACCCTCCTTCGCGGCCGCCCGCTCGCAGCCATGGCTTTGAAGGAGGCGGGCGGCAGCATCCTGCCCATCAGCGACATGGTATCGGGGCCGTCGGGCTCGCCGTTCCCCGAGGTGGTGGAGCTGAACGTGGGGGGCCAGGTGTACGTGACGAGGCACTCCACGCTGCTCAGCGTCCCGGACAGCACGCTGGCCACCATGTTCTCCCCGTGCCGGGGCGGCCCGGCGGCGGCCCGCCAGCTGCCCAGGGACAGCCGGGCGCGCTTCTTCATCGACCGCGACGGCTTCCTCTTCAGGTACGTGCTGGATTACCTGCGGGACAAGCAGCTGGCGCTGCCCGAGCACTTCCCCGAGAAGGAACGGCTCTTGCGGGAGGCCGAGTACTTCCAGCTGGGCGACCTGGTGAAGCTGCTGTCGCCCAAGGTCACCAAGCAGAGCTCGCTCAACGACGAGGGCTGCCAGAGCGACCTGGAGGACAGCAACTCGCAGGGCAGCAGCGACCGGCTTCAGCGGGCGGCGCTGGACAAGCGCTCGGGCTTCCTCACCGTGGGCTACCGCGGCTCCTACACCACGGTGCGGGACAACCAGGCGGACGCCAAGTTCCGCCGCGTCGCCCGCATCATGGTGTGCGGTAGGATCGCCCTGGCCAAAGAGGTCTTCGGAGAGACCCTCAACGAGAGCCGTGACCCCGACCGGCCCCCTGAGAAGTACACCTCCCGCTTCTACCTCAAATTCACCTACCTGGAACAAGCCTTCGACCGGCTCTCCGAGGCGGGCTTCCACATGGTGGCTTGCAACTCCACCGGCACCGCCGCCTTCATCAACCAGTACAGGGACGACAAGATCTGGAGCAGCTACACAGAGTACATCTTCTTCAGTAAGTGCTGCCCGCGCCCCGGTGTCGTGCCCCTCGCCCTGGTTCCCGGCGGGAGAGTGGCGGTGTGCCCCGAAAGTACAGCTCCACCTCCAGAGCCCTTGCTGTCCCAAAGCAACGTGCAGCTGGAGATAAATGGGGACTGCCCCGTTTCCCCCCACTCCGCTCTGTCACCGCCATAGTTCAAATTTCATTTTGTGCGCTGTGGGGGTGGGACAGGACTGCCTAAAATGCCCCGTCCTGAGCGCTGCGTGGGAGCATTTCCCTACACACGCTCCGTGGGGCAGCCTGAGCTGATCCCTCCTTTCAGTGCCGGGAGGAGAGGCAGCCCCACGTGTCGGGGCGTCCCGGGGGAAGGGTCACTGATGACGGATCGGGGGGCTACGTCCTCGGAAGGGGTGTCCCTGCCCCGCTGGGCGGGCGCCGTGCGGGCGGGCGCGGCCCCGGCTCCGGTGCGGAGGGTTGCGGTGCTCCCCGCCAGCGAGGCGACGCAGAGATCCCCGAGCAAGGAAGGGTTTTAATATTTTATCGCTGCGTTTCCTTCAAGTAAGCGCACTGCGCCTGGGCACGGTCCCTGTGAGGCAAGGGGCAGCGAGGGCACAGCCAACTTCCCAAGGAGCAAGAAAGTCTGGCTCCAAGGTGGAAGAAAATTGGAAAAGAGAAAATAAACCGCTCCATAGCCGTTACACAGCTCCTAAGCAACTTCGCTGGTTGGCTGTGGGTAGCCTTAAAGGTTTCGGGTCACTCGCGGATAGGAAAACCGAGCGATGACGAATGAGTTTCAATCTGGCAAAGTATGTAGTGCTATGTAGGGCACTGGCTGAGCAGCGGGTTCGGGTCATGAAACCGCAGCTGGATCAAGAACATCATCCCCTGGCAGAGATTTGTCTTTGAAAGGCAGCGGCAGCCTTAAACATTACAGATGTGTTTGAGAGGCGAGCGAGCCGGCGGGAAGAGAGATGTGTTCTGCATTCACTTCTTGCTTCTCCTGCCTCTGTGTGGTCTCACGCTCCCTGAGCAAAAAAGAGATGAATTGGCAGAGCACCTGCCTCCCTCTGTGGTGAGGTGCGAGATGCAGCCTCTAACTAACTTCACTAGTAAGGCAGCTGAACAGAAGCAACTTGTTTGCCCTGCAAAGCTGGGCTTAGGCACGGTATTTAATCGAGGAGGGAAATGTGAATGGTTTTTCTACTGGGAGGAGAAATTCATATTACTTTATAGTGTATAGGTGGTGACTTCCATTCGGTGAGGAGCTTTGAGTACTACGATCAATCTTTGAAACTGGATTAAAACAGTTTCTCAAGATTGATTGCATACCTTATCACTGGTCATATTTCAATAGGATATGTGAAAACTGAGCTCTAGAGGAGCTTCACGTTCTCCTGGGTGGAATTCTATCAAGTATTTTCCATAATTATTAAACCTTCTTTCTCAGAAAATTTGATATAATTGGTTTCTAAACAGTAAAATTTCCTTCTTGAAATAGTGTGTACTGTTTGCTTAGAAATAGATTTGTAGGTGCATGATTTTTGGTGTGCATTTGTGATGCTCATAATGTTGTGGGGTTTTTTTGCGTGTATGTTATGATGAGGTTGCTGTATAGAACAGTCCTCTAATTCACATCAGTGTTGCAAATTAATCCCCGGTGTAATACCACTGATTTATTTGGAATAATACCAGGGATGAACTGGATGTTGTATGTCATGGTTTTTGTTTTCAGTCTTCAAGCTTCTGATGTTGTGAAAAGTAAAATAGTTTGTAAATTACTTAATACAGTTAACTGAAAATCTATGGTTTTGCTTAATTTTTTGGGTGGGGACTTTTTGTTTTACTTCTGAATACAAAATAGGGTTGAGATAAAAATAGGGTGAAAAGGTGTCAAGCACATTTTAATTTTGGTTGCTTGTTATGCATTTAGAAACTGTTTTGTGTAACGACTTTATACATTGTTTTATAATCAGATACATTTCTCTGAAATATAGCAAGATGGAAACAACACTTAAGAAAATCACCAAAATGAGAAGAGAATCATGTGAACCAGTGCCTGAACTAAATGCTTTCGTTATTTTGTTGTCTTTTTTTTTTTCAGTCTGACTAATTGTCTAATTGATGAAGACTGTTGATAAGACAACACTTTATTATAATAATAATTATGATCTGCCCTGGATGGATTGTGTGTGTGCTGCTGCCTTGCCTGACAGCTGCACAAGAATCCAGCAAAGGGAGAGTGAACCTTGGAAGCCTTGTGCTCTGTACCAGGAGAGAGAAGAGATCAGGGCTACTGGCTGTAAGCTCTCCAACAGCATTAGCCAGGGCTGTGTTCCTTCTTTGCTCATAAGCTGAGCTTAATACACAAGGAGAAGGGCAGTCACTTTTCAATTTATTTCTTGCCAAATGTCCCCGTGAACCCTGACAAGGAAGCAAATATCAAGACGAAAGACTTTAGGGAGCCTATTCCAGTTTTGGACAGTGCCTGAGACTTAATTTGGTGCTAGTGAAGAGGAAACCCAGTTTTATATCCCACTGGAAAAAGCTGTACCTGCATTTGCATTTGTTATTCACAGCATGAGCATCTGCAACTAACAGCAATTGTATTATTTGTTGGTCTGTAAGTCCATAGCAGCCACATAAACTTCTTTTTCACCATTTTTCCTGAGTTCTGTGAACAATTCTGCTTCCTAGTAATGGGAGATAATAAAGTGATTGGAAACATACATAAGGATATATTCATTCTGTCCATTTTCTGAGGTCATAAGTAGCTTTAGTAGAATTATTTTCTCCCCAAGAGCTAGTAAAGAACGACAAAGGTTTAATCTGTGGTTTGTGGAACGTATTTCAGGTCTGTTTCTAAGATCTTTCAAACCTTGGTAGGTTTTTTGAGTTGAAATGATCATCTATCACTTTTCTAAAAAAATGGTATTTACTTTATATTCTTAAACATTCGGGAAGATCAAATTCACCTAGGATACTGCATATATATTTAAATCAGTTATGAACTGCTTAAAATCTAGGGATAGATCAGTAGTTGCAGACTAATTCTGGTTGAGGAACCAGAGGTTGTTTGACACTGCTTACCAGGAGATAATGCTTCAGCCTTTGGCAACGTGTCATGACAAATTCAAAAACAGATTTCCTTCTTAGTTTGTATAAATGTTATAAAAACAAATTAAATTCTTTGCCCCTAGTGGTGTTTGAGCTATCATGTATGCAATGACAGATTCATTTGTGTACATAGTTAGTACATGGCCAGAACTTAGCCTGTACCTTGCATTGGTGGCTCAATTCTGAAAAGTGCTCATAGGTCTGTTCCACGTGTCTATTACAAATCCTATCTCTGTCTCTTAATGGTCAGTTAAAGGAGTAAACTGTAAACCTCTACACGGTAGTGAAAAGGCTCTATCAGAGAGTACCACAAGCTTTTTTTTTTTTTTTTTTTTTGGCTCCATGCTATTAACACTCTCACTTTAGTACACATGGGGATGACTTGGGTCAGGTTAGTGTAACATGAAGTGCATGTGCAGTTTGGGAAGGATGCTCAAACTCTTCTGCTGCTTAGTTTCACACTGCCGTAGAGGATGACATTAACTAGTTACCTGTTGATACACAATAGGTTATGGCCTTCACAGAAGTTGCATCTAACTGGAGACAGGAGACTCATGGTATCTCTCAGTACTGTTCTGTAATGCAAGATAGCCTGTGCATGCTATTACTAGTTTTTTCTTCTGGAGAATCTAATTAGTCCTAATGGATTTTATTTTTAACATCTGCTATGCAATGTGACTTAGGGGTGTTGAGTGTATTGTGCTCAGCTGAAAGCTTACTGTGCTGAACTAACATCTTTATTATAACAAGAATACAGTAATATTTCCTGAAAAGTTTGACATGCTTTCTATGTTGACACTCCTGTTTCACATATGAAAGTTTCTGTTTGCCTTTTTTCTTGTTTTTGTTTTGTAACAGGTGACATTAGCATGGATTTATGGTGCATATTTTCCACTTGAAGTCACAGCACTCTGAGATTACACTGGATGTTGTGGAAATTGTCATAAACAAGTGATAATAATGCTGTAATCAGATGGGGAATAAGCAGTTGGAAGTAGTAAATTTTAGGAGGCAGTATGGTATTTTGAAAAAAAAAATCTCAAACTCAAACAAAATAATACCAGCAATCCCCCCAAAAAACCCACCCAACAACAACAACAGTGAAACCTAACCAACAGTGCATGTGAAATACTTGGAGCTGTTAGTTGTTCTGTAATTGCCAAATGCAGTTCAGCATCCTGCTGGGATAGTGAGGGGTTGCTGGGTTGGCAGATAACCCTAAACTGCTCTTTCAAGGGCAGAGTGGTGTGAGAGCCATCCTGCAAGTGGTTACTGTGACCATGTCAAGCTCTTCTCCATCCATTGCTGCATCTTTGGTGGAGTTTTTAATATGCAGAGTGTATCTGTGCTATTTTTTTAAAATCTGGAATAAATATATGTAAGACACTGAGGAGAAAAAGAAGACCAAGAAAAAGAAAGAGAAGGGTATTACATTTCTGTGACAGATGGAGATAAATTTGGACAATTTGCTTTGAACCTGAACCAGAGCCTCAGAGATGAGAGTAAAAATTTTTGGTGGAATGGGATGATGTGCACAGAATGTGCTTGTATCACAAGCATGGTGTAGAAAAGCTTCAGATTTCTAACAGTTTCAAGATCTAGAAATGTTGCTTCTGGCAGGACTATTGAGCAAAGCCCTTTAAAGAGAGATTTTGTAGGCAGTCCTTTGACTTGGGAAAACTGACGCAGAATTTTAAGATGTTCTGTTTTATGATTTCAGCTCTACTCAATACAGCTTAAAATTAAATAAATAATCGACTGCTCCTTATCTTGTCATTCTTCCAAAATATATATCCCTGAATGCAAAAGGATGAATCAAAGTGTGAAGTCATAATTAATAATATAAGAACATTACTCTTATGCTGCCACTTGATATAATGTGTGATAATCTAGTCTACTGA